GGGATGGGCACTTCTGCTGAAAAGGATACAAATTTTGTTTGTATGTCATTATAATGATCATATAGAGCCAAGTTAATTATTCAGCTATGATTGTGAGTTGATGGTTGACTGTAGTGAATAATGAAGACAAGGATGGTAGGGGTGATTCGTCAAAATAAAAATGGCTAAAATAAATAATAATATTTATCAGGGCTGAGAAAATAACCATATAACAGTAGGTATGAGCAACATAAACAATGTAGGTAAAAACACTTAAAGCAAAAGGCAGTAGATAAGTGAACATTAAAGTAAAATAAAATAGGTAGAACTAAAAATAATAATAAGAAGAAGAACTAAGAAAGAAATAATAACGGCTAAAAAGTGCGGACTAATGAAGTAAACATAATCAAAATTAGATAACATAAGAACTAAAAATATTAATCTTAGAATGAAATGTAAAACAGAGAAAAGGAATATGAAGTTTCATAAGAAATAAATATTAATAGAAAAAATGAGATATTGTAAAGTCTATCAAAATATAAATATCATTTTAACTCTTTATTCTCTTATACGTAGTCAGTATATTTTGATAGACTTTGCAATATCTCAATTTTCTATTTAAACTATTCTATTTAAAATATCTCAATTTTTCTATTTCTATTTATTTCTTATATAACTTCATATTCCTTTTCTCTGTTTTACATTTTATTCCAAGATTACCTATTTGTATTTATTTTTTATATAACTTCATATTCCTCTTCTCTATTTTACATTTTGTTCTAAGATTACCATTTTTAGTTCTTATGTAACCTTATTTTGATTATGTTTACTTCATTAGCCAGCGCTTTTTAGCCGTTGTTATGATTTATTTCTTAGTTCTTGTTATTGTTATTATTCTACCAAAGTTTTTTTTACCTACATTGCTTATGTTTCTCATACCTATTGTTATCTGGTTCTTTTCTCAGCCCTCATGAAGGCCTGAACTTCGAGTCGAAACGTCGGCAAATGTTATAATTATTTATTTTTGCTATTTTTATTTAGACTGATTATCCCAACTATCCTTCTCTTCATTATTCATCTGTATGTTTTTTCCATTTATAACATTATAAAGTTTATAAATACTAAAAATCATAGTTTTTCCTTATTTCATAAAAGCTTCCAATTGATGCTTGTTGTTTAGGTTGATAAAGTATATTCAATTATTTTCCTTGAATTAGGAAAAACTACTGTAGGTATATGTGATAACATTTAAAACAATTACTTCATCTACCTGTGTAATTATGACAGAAATAACAAATACATTTCGACGAGGATGCATACATTAGAGAAAGCAATCGATTGACACTTCCTCCCGCATATGTTATGTTCTCGTTTTCACTTTGCTACTTATTTAACTAATATCTGTGCACCTATGTGTTATCCTCCCACGACATGTCGTGGTTCGTGTTTTCCATTAAGGCAAGAGAAAGTGCGGAATACAAGAGAAAATAATTGAAGCATTAACTTTCTTCAGATCAATTATTTAGTTCATATATAACGTGGAAAACGTTTGAATGCGTAAAGGAACGTAAGTTGAAGACTAGTTGAAACAAAATAAATGTAAAGTAAAGGGTGATAAAAGCTTATTAGTTGTTTGTTATGAAATTACTCAGTTTGCAAACTGTTCCAAGGCCTCCAAGACTCCAAATTAAAATTTACAATACTGCTGTTAATATTAATATATTGTGAGGAATACCTCCGTAAGTATCTTGATTTTTTTGGTGAAGCGGAAGATAATAAATGTATGCTTTGCACATGGAAGCCGAACAACATTTTATTTGTACTGCGTGAAAAGATGTTCGAGTATACCTCAAAGACGATGACATTTATTTCAAAAATGGAGAATTGTACTTAACTGCTCGAAAAGGATGACAATAATGGCCAATAATAATGGCCAAAGTCGCAAAGGATGACATTGAGAAAAATTAGGTAAAAACATTATCTTATTACAGGTGGTCACATACGTTTAATATAAAACAAAGTCTTAGATCATAAAGAAATAATTTATTTTATTATACATGAAATCCACTCAAGGATGAAATGAACTTATCTGTACTATTGGTAATTGATAACTTGATAATATTTAGAATTAATAATAGCAAACACAACATAGAAATGGATCTGGTTTATTTCAATGAGGTAGGATATAACTGTTAACGTTATAACGGACGCTGCCTATAAATAGTATGTTACAACTGTCCCGTCCTGGGACCGTATATCTGGAGGACGCCTACCTCAATATTACATCCCTGCGCCTCCCCCACAACATAGTACAATTGATTGTTATCCTTACAACATTGGCACGTGTAAAAATGGAGAGGAAATTTGGTTAATTTAGCAGTGATCCGGCACAGGACGGTCCGCCCATCCATTCATCATTCAGTCTGTCATGACACTTCTTATGCCATCCCTGACATCTTCCATATGCCCCTCCCGCACAGTTTTTTACTTTCAAAGTGGTTTCTTGCATAAATTGAGGCATTCATTGTTATGTATAGGCTTCCTGAGGGATCGATTTTGGTTACAGACGAGTCCTATCTAAATCTCCTTGCCCTTTTCAGATTATTGGTCCTTCTCAGATTATTATCCTAACTACAATGATATATTTAAATTAACTATTGGCTAATTCCATAAATAGAAGAAAATATATGGCAAATCGTCCAGCTTTTTCCGCCACCAATTACGAAATTATTGCAAGAATAATAAAATTTCCAATGTGTGGTTTCCAAAGAATCCTATGTTTCAGAGCACCATGAGTGCAAAAAACACATTTTCAGCCATTGGTCTGTCTGTGCCAAAAGACTATCTCGGGACCGAATGGATCGATTTTGTTGTTTATTTTTTTGTTTAGTATGTTTTTGATTTGACTGATATCTATGTTACAAATAGGACCTTCTCTATGCAATAGCGGCTGCGAAATAAGAGAAAAAAAAAGAAAGTTTTTCATAGACTGTAGTGGAAAACGGCTTTAGCGATATCGATGAAACTTTCATATAATCTTCTATTTAAAGTAGTTTCAGTTTTCGCATCTGTCGTGAATTACCGAAAAAATGCAGAGAAAAAAAGTTATAAAGAAAAGAAAAATGTTTTGAGGCTTAACTCGAAAGCATAATATATTATTAATAATAATATAAAATAAAACAAGAATATATTATATCCTAAAATTGATATAGAATCTTTTGAAAGGTAATTAAATAACAATCATCGAAATCTAACCAGCATTAGCATGATATAGCGTATTCAATTTTCTACACATTTTATTACTTTTCTACCACTAGTAGGTAAGGAAAGTATTCCAAACGGGTAAAATTTCCGATGTACATTTTTCAACGAATCTTTACGTTTCAGAGCCCTGTGTACATTGGAATATGTTTTGAAACGCAATTAAATTTAAAAAACTAAAAACAAATCGTCTAAATTGGTACCAGTTTTAACGTTACAGTATATTGAATTTTACACGCTGAGTTTAAATGTGATTGCTTTAGTTCATCAAAGAAATCTAAACTATAATAAAAACTATAATGTTTCCTCTGATAGGTTACCTGAAAAATTATTCTAACTCTTTTTTTTTTTTTTAATGGACGGATTTAAAGTTGTATACATTTTTATAAAATTGGTAGGGAAATAATGTAAGTGGACACACCAGATTTAATTTTTTTTTTGTAACCTACCAACTTATTTCTGTAGTTTGCAAGGAGTATAATTACAAAGGGAACAATCAAATCATAGTAAAAGGAATAAACTTGATAAAATATGGGGACGATAAGCAAACTAGGGGATAATACTCAAGGAATCAAGGAAAGCCGAGATCCTGAGTAATCCAGTTCGCTTTTCGGCAGATGGTCAAAGAAGAACTTAATATATAATCAACAATAAGTAAAATTTCAGATAAAGACTCGAAATTTGTATGAGATATAGAGAAATTGTATTATGCAAAAGTGATGACAGAAAAATCATACATTTTATAATATTGAGTAGCAGAAAAAATATTCAATGTCGTTTATTAACTAATGAAGTTTTTCTTCAAAAGAATCCAGGTCGCCAAGAAAACATTAGATAGCAAATTACACATTTTTCTATTAACCTTAAATGACGAGGATCCGTTTTGACCAGTTATTGAACCGTTATGAAAGGCGCCCTTTGAGATACTCGTGATATACAATACAAGTTCCTCCGGATCGACCCTAGATCGGACCTGAGTTACCTCCTGGTCGTGCACCGATATCCTGACAGGCGACAATGTCTCCGAAGAGTGAGGGCCTGCGCACGCCTTCCGTGACGGCCCACAGTTACCATCCTCTGGCTCTATTATAAAGTTGCATATCCTCTTCATCCTAACTATTATCGTTATTTAACCTTTAACATCGAAGATAGAGACATATTTTAGTAGTCCTCAGTAACGTCTTCAGCATCCAACTTTAAAAGGAGCATTTAAAAAAAAAACTGTTATTATTATACGACTCTAAGACCCACACGCTGAGTCTTGGCTTGCTCCAGCATTGACCACCAGTCATTTCTATTTTGTGCTGCTTCCTTCCAGTTGCGAATGCCAAGTATCGATAATGCATCAGTAGCAATCTTCCCATCGGATCCCAGTCCAACCTTCCATGCTCCAAATAGTTTCTCCGATAGAGCTTAAGATGTGATTTCCTCTGGATTCATCCTAGCAATGTGGTCTGCCCATCACAATGGAGACAATTCAATCATATCGACCATGCCTAAATCCTTGACATCAGGTTTGTCCTTCTGCTCCAGTCTCAGTGAACATGTGCGGCTTCATAAATTCTCATTTGTGTGTCCAGGATTCGAAACTATATGTTAAAAAAGGTCGAATCGAAGTTTTGTATTTTAAATTAGTACTATTACAATCATAAATAATGATGTTCGACAAAGTTAAATAAGGTTTGTTTAGTATTTATATTGTTTATTTTGGAGATAAAACGTTTTATTAAGGAAAATGTGAAAGAACCCCTCAACTTCCTTTACTCGATTAAGACTAAAAGCTGTTGGTTTGGACATGTTGGACATGGACGAGAATGAAGGACGACTAGTAGCCTAAAAAGGTACTCGACCAGAAAAGCGATGGATCGAAGGTATCTATGTGGCAATACCAGCAAGAGGACTCCAGGAGTAAGATTGTCATGAATAGAAATGGCGGCAGGGAGTCTTAGGTCGACATATGACCTTAAAGTGTAATAAAGTCGTTTATATATATTGGAGATTAATTTTTATTCTAAACATTTTTAATCATTCTATTATTCAATCGTAATTGTAATAAAGTATGAGTGTATTTTTTTTTTTACTTAATGATAATAATAATAATAATAACCTTTATTTCTGCATACAATGAAAAAACAATGGATAAAAATATACAAAATCTCTTATATGTACAAAATCAACTTAGTTGAGGTTTCGAGTTCGATTTTTTATTTTATTTTATTTTTTTATTTTTTATTTTGTATACTTAACTTTCTTGCAACCACACTAGGTAATGAACCTGTCCCATCCTTTTCCATTCTTTCCTCTCTAATGCTACTCTCTTCCAGGCTTCTCGCCCGTAGGTCTTCTTCATCTCCTTGTCCCAGTCTGTCGGCGGGCGTCCTCTCTTCCTCACGTGCTCTCTTGGATACCAATCCATAAACTGCCTGGTCCATGTTAATTCATTCTTCCTGATTACATGTCCGGTCCAGGTCCACTTCCTGATGAACACTTTTTCCACAATATCTGGAAGGTCAGTCTTTTTTTACTTACTAATTTTTTTCTATTTTTAGGAATTTAAGTATATAAGTTATTTAATTTCATTTCAAGTAACATTTATTTTGTTTTTATTATGATTTTCTCTTTGTTATGGTTTTCCTTAATGTATTGTATATATGATATGATTTTGCCTTACTCAGTTATAATAATTATTGCCCTTAAGTGTGGCAAAATGTAATATTTATTAATAAAGAGACTTAGAAAAAAAAACTAAGGTGTGTGATTTAGAACACTCGATAGAAGTTAAAACATCAACAAGGCGAGATTAATAATATAAAATATAAATTATAAACAAGAGCTCATTGTAAAGAGGATGAAATGTTGAACAATTTCCTACCTCAAAGTATGCAGGCCTGATTTTTAGTATCTGAAATATTTTAATCCATATATTCAACTAAACCCGTTATCATTTGGTTTTCAACACTATTTTTTTCCTTTCCGTATCTCTAACATAGCGTCACGTTAAAATACAATTTTAAATTATAGCCTATTACGGAGAGGATGAAATACTGAACAATTTCCTCCCTAACATGCTGCCCGATTTTTAGTTTTTGGGATATTTTAATTCGTATGCAAAAACACTTTAATTAGTCTAATATAGTTGACTTTTTCCTCCGTCAACACTTCGGAAATCTAACAGTCTAATTCACACTCCTCATAAAAGTGCAAAATGCACCTAAAGAAGTCTTCACTTCAAAAATAATAAAGTTCAATCAAATTAATGCGTAAGAGGTAAATACGGGTCTGTGGGACATTACATTTTACATACGGCAATAATTAAGTGAGTAAATATTTTAGAAATTTAAATGTTCACCATAAGTGGGTATAGTCTATGTCAGTACCTACAATATAGAATTGTATAGTAGAAGTTTATTTATCTGCACAATATGGTTTGATCACGAGGTGATGGTAGGGTAGAATTTATATTTATTTGAAAGAGTAGTTACGGACAGTGTATTTTTTTAAACGTTCAGAATATACTCAAAAATAATCCGCATAAAATTAAACTATTTCTGAAGTTTCTAAAAAATAAAACAAGTAATGTGGTGATAGTTGAGAAACGGTCGAATGACAAAAACTAAAACGAAGCTACACGTACATGAAACCTCGCCTTGTTCGATTATTAGTCGTGTATCTAAATGATCCTTTTTCAGAGAAATGTGTGACGATTTGAAATTTAACATTAGCTTTAAATGAAAATAATGTCAATAAAAAAATAATTGAATGCAATGATGTATTGAGCCAAACTAATGAACGTCAGTTATTTAATGCAGTCAAAATTATCCAGAGTTATGATTGGCGACAAATTATTTTATTTTCAGTGGGAATTGTGTGTTCATCAACACGCCACAAAATAGTCCAACCCAGCTTTGCATCTATTGGTTCTCTTTTTTAGGAAGAGTGCGTGGTAGGTTTTTCATAATTGATAGCTGTCACATTAAATCCTATTTTGTAGTTACATAGTCGAGTGCTGCAAACAATTCGACAGCCGCTACAACCAGTACAAAAGATCTCAATCGCTATCCGGAAAAGGGTTGACTGTTCTGGTGTTTAGGGATTAGTAAGGGTCGTTGTCAGTAAATCTTCGTAAAATGACGACCCTAGAAGGTATCCGATGATCCGATTTGTCGGGGATACGGACTATTGAGCAGGGCGTCCGTTGGCGTGGAATTGTGCTGGGCTGGGTGGCACACCATTGTGGCCCGTGGCCCCCTCCATCCTGGGCTATAACTCAATGCTGCTTATTAGCTATGAATCGAAACTAATTCCTCGGCTGTTTGCATTCACTGGGGACATATTTTATCCATTAACAGCGGCCATTATGGAACAGACAGGCTACAGACTATCGTCCTCTGTTGCCAGCCACTTAAAACACTTTAATTCACTGCCGGCTCACAAAAGCTCCCACAAAGCCGCTCTTCTCCTTTATGTCGGGGATGTTTTTGTACCGGTGCCCTCGGTCGATGTGTCCCTTCATAAATATCGATACTATTATCATCGATAAATAATTGGGCTTCTGTTTGTCAAGGTACTTGACCTACATCTCCCTTCCGCTCCTTCCATCCTAAGTAAGAGCACACAAAAGATGGTCCTCATTTATTTAGTATTTTTTTTTTTAAAGATGCTAATATTGTGGAAATAATTACATGAAATTGTATTTATTTTCGATAATCCAGTATTAACATTCAGAACAAGTTTCTTGTAAAATCAATTTGGATTGGTCTGTCTTGTATTTAACAATATTCAAATTTTAGACTTTTTCAATAAAAAATAAAAAAATATTTTATGTGTTATCTATGAGTTTATTCTGAGATAATTGATATTAAATTGAAATTTATTGTAATATCAAAAGTTAAACTGATCACATACAAGGTAAACATATCATTCAGTATAATGTTAAAAACGCGAAATCTAAAAAAAAAAAAGTGTTACATATAAGCAGGCCAAATATTAAGATAATGTTTTCAAATATACTATTTGATATTCATCGATGTAATAATAGTTTGGTAAGTCTTTAAGACCGGAAAGAAAGTTAATTAACTGAGCCTGCAGATGTGGACACCAATTCGCCTGCGGGTATATACACAATTAAACACTAAAATTAGACCGAAATAACCGAATATACAGGACGTATAATATATCGATGGTTTTTGGCCATAACTAGCTAAATCAATAACTGATGAGAAAATAACTACACTTGACAAAATCCGAATGTCTTTTCATGTGATACCGAAAACTTCACATTGTAATAAAAAAAATATTAGGATCTAGAGTTGCCGAATTTCACTAACGGCGTAAGAGCCCAAGAGTTAGACAGATTAATGGATGGAAGTTTTTCACAGCTACGGAAATTAATGAGATAAAGAAAGATGTGGCAAGAACTTTAAATGTTGTACCTGACCAAGTTCAAGGATCCAATGATGTTGAGCAGCAGCTATCAGACTTGCAGAACGACTCTGAAGAAGAGCTGAGGCAAGAATTAAAGAAATGATGATGGAAGAACATATGAAATATGAAGATATACAATTAGAATATAGGCCGTCATTACTGCGTGATTCTTATGGGGAAGTGACATTAAAAATAGTAAAAGCTTGTAGATAACTGCCACTGGGTATTTATAGCTGCCAGAACTGTAGTGTCAAAACTAGGTTTAATTAAGCCAAAGCCAGGTGACGAAAACAGTGCCAAGAAGAAGAAAGACGAGACCCTCCCCGTGGACAATAAGGCACTCAAATAAGATCATAAGATTGGTGTTCTTGCCAATTTCTTAAGAAGCTCACAGACTGCCTCTATCATGCTGAAGACCAAAATAGATGCAATAATTGTGTCATATATTGGAGTAGTACAAAAAGCAGAAATCAGCCAGGAGTTAGCGAAAATAATGGATGATATGAAACCGAAATTGGCAGTATACGCGAATAGAATGTGGAGACTTTGGCAGGTGAAAGAAGGAAGCAGAATACAGTTTTTATTACTTCGTAGAAACTTTTCTACGGACAATTATCTGCTAAAAAACCAATGACAAATAATAATTTCCCAGAAAGTGAGCCTCTAATCGGAAAGCAACTGGCTCAGATAAGCAACCTAATTATTGGTGGAAAAAATTTCGCTGTGCCATCTACTGGCTGTTTGCTTTCAGCAATTTTTAGAAAATAAAACTGAGATACCTGCAGATTTCTGTACAGATAGTACCTTGCTGATACTAACAGCGGAAAAACTGGAACACACGCCAAAGGACTTCAGACCAATATTATGCCTTAATGGAATATATTAATTGCTAACATCAGTGATTCATAATAAGCTAAAATTATATATAAATGAGTATAAATTAATTGCTGATGGACTATTAGGGACGAGAGAGAATGCCAAAGGATGTAAGGAATTGCTTATCGTTGACAGCTTCATAGCTTCAAAAGTGAAAAGCAAGAAACGTAACATCACTGTTTCATGGATTGCCTACCAGAAGGTATTATTAGGTAATAGTGCCGACTGTGTAAAACAGCAAGAGGATCGATTCAGCATATCACATCAGGATGTCAAGTGCTTGCTGGAAAAGAATATCTACTTAGACACAACAACATGGCTAAGATCGTCTATCAGAAACTAGCCAAGAAATTTGGAATTTTAGACGACACTTGTCCTCATTACAATATTGACCACAATCGGTCATTGATATTATATTCGTTTTGAAGGATGAGAGCCATGCAAATATTGTCGAATCATTGGTACCATTGGATAATAACTTTCACAAGGTGGTTGCGGAAAAAAATCGGAAGTATCAAGTATAACAATTATATAAACTTGATGCAGTGAGGGTTTTGGCGCTGGTCATCTCTACAAATGGTTTGATTCCGGACACAACAGTGGGCTCCTTTAAGGAAATAGGCCTTTCGATGAATTGTTTGAAGTTAATGCAGAAAGCGGCGTTCCTCGGAACAGCGAGCATTGTTCGAAAATTTATGAATGCAACAGATTAATTTGTCTAGCCTACCCTTGACTCAAGTCCGGATAATATAATGTAACCAGCAAATGCTGTGAAATAAGGGATTTCTCTAATATAATATATGCTATTGTAAAATTACTATACTAAAAGTCGTCTTTTTTAATTATAACCGACTTCCTTCAATAAAATTAATGTAACAAAATATTTACGTTCTAGAGGTTTTAAAAAATAGGTTCTTTTTAAACACAATTATTGGCCGATCACGTTATCCGATATATGTTATATAATAAGAAACGATTGAGCGAGAAATGAAAAATATTGGTAAAGCGGTGCAATAAATATCTGCATTGCTGATTATCTTAATGGGATCGACGATTACGATCGGGGAGCTAGCGTGGGACCCGGTAGCCGCTCGACAGCAGTAAATCCTACGAGTGGGAGAAAAAAGAGGAGGCAAGAAGGCGAGGAGAGCGTGCTTGAAGAGGCGAGGAGGAAGGAGAAGGAAGGAGGAGGAGAGGGATAGTGCAATTAGCTCTAAATCTGCCAGCCGCATTACCATGCAGTCCGGCGGGTAGCGTCCACTTCGACCACTGTCCGGCCATATCCACTATATACTGTCTCCTCCGTCGGACTGTCTCCATTAGGATTAACCATTAATCTATACTATATATCTCCAATCAGGATCCACTGGTCATTCTGCAATTATTAAATTATTGAAGATTATTTTTTATAAAGCGGTTGTGAAAACTTAACTTCCCTTACCTCACTGAATCTGCCATTGGTGGAATAACTGGGAACTTTCAGACTTCAGGACCCTTAAAATAGAAAAAAAAAATGTTGATTGGTTCATACTTATTTCCGCGGAAGATCAGAGCTAAATACATAAAAAATCAAAATATGTACAGTTTTTTAGTTACAAGAAACAAATATAAAAAATTTATTCCTAAAAGCATTAGATCCTCTAATTACTATTTTTTTTTTTAATAGGCCTTCAACGACCACTTTAACATCATTTTATATGATTTTTTTTCCGATAATAAAAAATAAAATATGAATTATTAAAAATCATTAATTGTAGCAATAACAATCCCTTTAGGGGAATAATTTTTATTTATTTTTTCATGATACTTAGATTTAGTAGCTTTAAATATGATTTTTTTTCCTTGTTCTTCCCTACTTCGCCTTTTAGGGTATATAGGTTTTTCCTGGGACGGAGAGTCAGGCGGGGAATTTAAAATCCCCTCCAGCAACGGGACGCGAACTTGTACTTTTTAATCTCATAACATCGGTTATCTGGTCGCCGAACAACTCGCGGTGCTGTGCACACGCGTTATCCCATTCGGTCACCCCACACCCTTTTCATATGACATATATATATATATATTTAAAATAGTACACATTGTGATTATTTAAATTTTTTTTTTCCCACCCCTTCCTCACCTTTTAGGCTATACGAGGATTTTCCCGGGCCAGAGGAAAAGGCCCTCTGGCACCGAGATTCGAACTCGTAATTATCTTATAGCTTTAAAATTCGGTTTGACATAGGTTTGGTTGCCGAAAAACGGTCGGTAACTTTGTCCCTTTATTTAATTATTTCAGTATATCACTTACAAGAATAAATATTAAAAAAAATAAAATAATTTTTTATGAGCTAGAAATCCCATTTATCCGAGGACCCGCCAGTGAATTAATCAAGATTTGATTAATGAATTAAATATAAAAATACATTTATTAGAATTTATAATTCAAACATAATCTTAAGTTATAGAATTAAGAAAAATTACCTAGAAAAAATATTTTAATAAAAAGAAACAAATGACCAGTAAAATAGATTAAACAGCATAATGGACTCCAGCTCAACATACAATTACGCCCTTAAGCCTGAATCATAACAAGTATTGTGAGCTGGCTAATGTCGGATGAGAAAGGTTTGTATAGCCGAGGACTGCAATGCGGATTAGTCACCCACTGTCCTTGCTAATTATCCAAGCTGTACAAGCCAACTCTGAGATAACATTACGATTGTCAACACGTCCCGGCAGTCAGCTGCCGCATCTGCATATCTGCCACCAGGCGGGGGTTGAAAAAACCTCTGAGGACTGCCTAATACCCGATCATCCGCGGGCTCTCTGTTGACTCCATTAGTCGGGTTTCGGGTGTCCGCCACGGCTACTGCATGTTTACTATATTAGTTTAGGTCCCAGGGTCTCGTTTGTACTCCTGCATGTTAATAATCTAGGATGGCTGTAAGGTAAGGGACGTTATGTATCAGTTA